TAATTTTGACCTTGTATCCCCACTTAATTGACACGAAGATACCAAAAGTTTGTAAATGTTGCTGGTAGCTTTCTCCCTACCAAAATCTCCGTGTTTATTCTTATAATGTGGTTATATAACTATCAATAATTATCTCTTTAAGCTAGCTGGGGTTGAATAAAACCACTTGGTCTCATCTCTACCGCCTATAACAATTTGGAGATCGCAAAAAACAATCACAGTTAGTGCTTAATAGTTGTTAATGTATTAACTCAAACTTGGATTTATCTGGTTGACTAGATTGTTCCGTCTACTAAACTAAACTTTAGTTCAGTGTATCAGGTGATGACTGAATTCGATATAAAGTATTTATGGCTTGAATTATCTTCATATAGATGTCGAATTCGACTAAGAAACAGAAAATTAATTAGCAGATATTTAATAATTTATCCTCTCATTTCTATCATTTATTTGGCATATAAGCAGATTGAGTGTTAAATAATCGTTGGAAAAGCAAAAGTGAACAGCTCATATGTGTCTAGTCTCTTTACCGTAGTGTCATATTTATTGGAGCTAATTTAAAATAGTAAACCTATGATTTTATATAACTTTTAATTAACTTCGTCACTTTCAAACGGTTTTGGTTAATCCAGATAATTTTGTCAATAACCTGTACAAAGTATCTATGGGATAGGTCACGTTGCATACATTCGAACTCATGTTCGTGTCAAATTCCATTTTGACGATGACTGAGAACACGATAATTTCAAAGAATATTTCACACTGCTGTGACTGAATGTAAAAATAATTTGCCATATCGGCTACTACTAGATAGTATAATCTCTTCATACTATTACGCAATTTGACGCATGTTTATATCATACTTTCTATGGTTTACTTTCAATTCAAATATATTAAAGTATTTTGTACTTCGTCATACTACACTCCACAATCCGTGTTTCATGATGTAAAGTCAGTTTCTAGCTCTGAACTTGTTTTTCAAGATTGAGACTAAGTTTAGTTAAAGGAAATATAGGGTACCCCTGTCTATCTGTCTGATGACTTAAAAACAGTTTGCCACTGCGAATCGTTGCCTTGTTTCTTCAGGTTAATTATCGTCCATCTGGCGTCTGACAAGTGATAGGTACATGTGGCCAAAAGCACTAGTTAGTGACTCAAACTCGTTAGCAGCGTCACAGGTTTCTCCACCGTTTATTTATTTATTTGAACACATAGATATTGTTACGAGTAGGCACCAAATACATATGCGCCACACAAATCTCATTTGATATGTGTGAGGGCTGTGATACTGCCCGGGTGCTCAAACTGAAGTAGGTGGTTTTCTTAGAGAGCGACACCCAGAGCCTTCGACCTGACGGTCTGATCCACAAGGCAGTGGAGCAACGTCAGGAAATGCAGTCCCATGGTAGCTGGTGATCAACGATTGGTTCATACGCCATTTGTTCCCTCAGGATACTGGAGCCCATGTCCACCATTGGTTTGGAATCAGGGTTTTCCAACTCCCCTAGCTGGACTGTCCATTCCCACCACCCCGGTTAAAGCGCCGGACATTCGCTTTTCGTCCTCTCAATTTCGTAAACAACACCCCTGCCACGAGAAGGCAGTGAGTAGGACTTCTCTGGCAGAGGCTATATACGCGTGGCCATGTGAGAGTATTTCGAGAGGGAGAGCGGACTCTCCGTCTCCGGCGATAAGACCTTTTGAAGAGTGGAGCTAACACATCGACAACTTCCCTAGAAAAGTTCGTACGTGACCGGCCTTAATTAGTTGTCCCTTGGGTTCTGCAGTGACTCTCCCGAGTCGCTAAGACCACCACTAATTAAGTCTCATTTTCAGGTCCAATGTGAAGAAATATCTTCCTACGGTGTAGGTAACTAGGAAATGACAATCGCTCTCATACCTCTACCATCACCTCAGATCATCTTATCGGCAATCGAATCCCATCCCTCACCTCTTAATAATTATCCTATCCTCACGACTAACCCTTCCCATTTATTTTTATCACCAAGCTCCACCAATGCTAATGATTTAAGTTCTACTGAAACCACGCTCGTAACTACATCTTGGAGCTTTTAATGTTCAAACCTTGTGTCAGATAGGAAAACAGGCTTCTTTAGCTTAGACTCTAAAATTTTGCGCCATCGGAAAAAGACGACACTAATCTGCTCCCAGTCCAGACGTTTAGAACGATGAGCGGAACCTTTTAGAGAACAGTTCATTCGGCCTTCAGCTACTCTACAACTACCCTCCATTCCCAGACAGTCTGAATGGAACATTAAAGTAGGTCCCACATCTCTAGCAGAAGTTCGAAAGGCTATAGTTAATCTGAAACGAGGAAGGGCAGCTGGTCCAAATGGATTGGCTCCAGAGGTCTTTAAGGATGGTGGTCCAATTTTAGCGATTAGGTTGACTAATATTTTAGCTAAAATCTGGGAGTTGGACGTTATCCCATCTGACTGGTCACAATCACTTATCGTCCCAATATATAAGAGGGTCAAAATCACCCTGCGACAACCATAGAGGGATTAGTTCAACTAATATAATATCTAAAATACTAGCTTCGATAATTATCAGACGCCTAACTAAGACTCGTGAACTGCAAACACGAGAAAACCACACTGGCTTCAGAACTGGTCGTGGTTGCATCGACCACATATTCACCATTCATCAGGTTCCAGAACACAGGCATACTTATCGGCATCCGACAATGGTGGTCTTTCTTGACTTAAAAGCAACATTTGACTCGGTAGACCGCGAGATTCTGTGTCAGTGTCTGTCATTGAAAGGCGTACCTCAGAAGTACATAAACCTTGTAAAGGCTCTTTACTCGAACACTACTAATCGAATCACAGCTTATGGCGAAATGTCATCTGATTTTGTAACCTCAATTGGTGTCCGTCAAGGCTGTCCACTTTCTCCATTTTTGTTTAACTTCATCATAGACCTATTGATGGAAATAACATTTTCGTCTACTGAATTCTCGGGTATTGATCTTCTTCCAGGAGGTCCACTTATCGACTTACAATACGCAGATGATATAGTCCTGTTTGGTGAAGACGCTGATAAAATGCAGTCTTTTGGTAACACTAAGCAACAATGCCAGAATGTTTGGGATGCGCTTCTCTCCCTCGAAATGTAAGTTGGTGCTTCAGGACTAGTCTGCATCAACACCTGAACTAAGGATACGAAGTGAAGTAGTCGAACGCGTTGACAACTTCACTTATCTTGGAAGTCTGATCAGCCCTAATGGGTTGGTGTCTGACGAAATCTCAGCACGGATTCGAAAAGCTCGCTTGGCTTTTGCCAACTTACGTCACCTATGGCGAAGGCGAGATATCCGTCTATCAATAAAAGGATGAGTATACTGCGCGGCAGTCCGTTCTGTTTTAATTTACGGCAGCGAAACGTGGCCATTAAAAGTCGACGTTACTCGTAAGCTACTAATATGTGACCACAGATGCCTTAGAAATATTGCTGGCGTCTGCTGGGATCACCGGGTAAGTAATAGTGAGGTTAGACTCAGGGTATTAGGGAATGAAGGTAAATTAGTTGATGAGGTTGTGAATCTTCATCGACTGAGATGGTTGGGCCACGTGTTACATATGCCTGAACACCGATTCCACGACGTGCAATGCTAACCGGTGTTCGGGATGGCTGGAAGAAAGTTAGGGGCGGCCAGACCAAAATGTGACATCAGTGCTTGAAGACACTAACTTCTAGTCTGAGCCATGTTAGTAGATGCAGACTACTTGGTTGGGGTCCGCGTGACTATCGTAATCAATGGTTGGAGACTCTTGGTGACATGGCTCAGAATCGATCATAATGGCGTCGGTGTATACACTTTCTGTCTTCCCTCAAACCGTGAGATTAAAATCGCTTCATATCTTCCTTTCTACGAACTAATTCTTTCTTCCTGTACTATATCCTTATATGCATTTTTTCTTTTATATATTACAACCATTGAATTATCTATGAATTCGTTGTTCATCTTGTTGTGCTAATAAGGTGTGGCAACTTGGACTGATGCACATATGTGCCTGGTCCTACGTTGTAGCTGACTGACTGGTGAACACCAACTTTAAACATAAAGTGAAACATCGTCTGACGTGGCGACCTCTAGAACCAATCCATCTGGACCAGCCTTTTGAACTTAAGCTAGAATCGGGGGACCTACTTTAATGTTCCATTCACACTGTCTGGGAATGATGGGTAGTTGTAGGGTAGCTGAAAGCAAGCTGAACTGCTCCTTACAGTGTCCCGCCCATCGTTTTAAACGTCTGGGCTGAGTGCAGATAAGAGTTTCGTCTTCTTCTGAGATCGTCTCACTTTCACTTGACTTCTTAATCCCAGTTTCTTTCATTAGTCTGAAAACCTATCTTCTGTTAAGTACTGCCGCTGCCTTTTACTTCCATTACCCATCACTGCTCACGGTTGTTCCTTAGACTTTTGTTTTCGTTCTTCATCGCGTTCAGAGCCTGATGGGATGAGTTTACGAGAATCCATCAGTGTAATAGACTTAGTAGAAATCCATTAGTTTTTCGTAACCCTTTGGTTTAAACCACTAATAGATGTCACTGATGTTTACACAGCAACCGAATAGTATAATTAGCCGTCATATTGACAGACAAGTCGGTACAGTGATTTTGTACCGGTGCAAGACGGTTGTGTGACCCAGGCATCTGATGAAAGAGTTAATCTTAACTGGTCTTGTAAAAATTAAACAACCTGAATAAATTTAGTGATAGGTACTGTTTTGAGAAAGTCATTCCTATAAAATTGTAATACTAAGAGCTATTTTGTCTGAATACACATATATCTGTACCACGTTGTACTCGTCGTAAAAATAACAGTCGTGAGGACATAGTTATGGTTAGTTTTCTTCACTATACATTACTCAGTGTCTGCTTTTTTCTAACATATAAAATCATAAAATGGTCTTACATATGAAGCTTCTTAATTATTATTGACTACTCTATAGTTCCGGTTCTTATTGACTGCTAATGTCATCACTCCCAAAGAGGATAATCAAAGTATGTTAATAACATATAACTTAATGTAATGAACTATAGGAAACTCAAAAACTTATCCAGGATCCATGTGATGGCATAAAAGCGGTACCAGATGAAAACAACGCAAGATACTTTTTGGTATCCATAGATGGACCGAAAGATAGCGCATACGAAGGGGGTATTTTCGACTTGGAATTATTCCTTCCGGAAGAATACCCTATGACTGCACCTAAGGTCCGGTTTACAACCAAATTATATCATCCAAATATTGATCGCCTCGGCAGAATTTGTCTTGATATTCTTAAAGGTAAGTTAAAGTAGTAATATTTTGTTTATATTTTTATTCTCTAATAAACTCTCCTATCGCATCTTATTTGCTAAAAGCAACTTTTTATATCTAAACAACAGGTTTTTTGTCCATCTCAGTATATATATATATATGGAAGTAAGAAGCACAATAGGGAAAACGTTAGTATATTTATAGTTTTTCACATGAGAAGATTTCTAAAGTGTTCACTAAGTATTGACTAACTCTGATTTGATAAGAATTAGCCAATCAGTGTGCACCAAAGTAATCGTACATTGAGCATGGTTTAATCCAGTCTATGTCTCGCTAACAGTTTCCAAAACCCAAGTTCTGTAAATTAATTGTTTCGTCGTCGCGTGTTCCCGACAGTAGCTTTTCCTTGATATCGTGGTTGGGTTTTCCTTTTGTAATGACCCAGTCAAGTTATATTGGTTGGAACACTTCCCTTAGTTTCTGCTATGCCAAGCAGGGCAGTCGAAGAACGGTATTGTTGAAAGTAGCGGCCTAAGGTCTAAGGGTGAAATCGCACTTCTAACTGTACTGGGGTGTGGGGTCAGTAAGGTATTTCCCATATAACAGTCATACCGTAAAAGTGAAAACTCTGTACGTCATTCAGTCAGTATCTTTATTGACTAAATCGTCTTCACTTGTCTGATCATTAAAGAAATGAATCCCCAGATGTTTCTGGTCAGTTACATATTTTGAAAGTAACATCACTCTATTAACTGAGTATCTCAGTTTACGATAACAGAATGAATGCAACTCTTTAATTTGTATATAAGCAAATCATATCAATCAACATTGAGTAGAAAAAAGTCTCTGAATTTCAAACAAGTAATAATATCGTTATCAGATTTTCGTTTTTTGCACTAATGCACGCTTTCATAAGAAAGTAATAAGCCCCAATTTGTTCTTTTCGTTTAATATGTAAATAACTATCATTCTATATAACAATGCTATAAAGCCAAATATCACAAAAATGTTTATACACTTTTCTAGGACATGAAATCTCTCTTTGGTATCATTTCCCATCTGGCTCTCATCAGTTGAATCCTATTTTTAGTCTTTCTAAGTCAATTACCAACTTCATTCTGTATCATCACAGTAGAGTCTGTTGACGTCTGTAGACTGTTGCTGGTGATAATCCACCTATCTGTTACCCTTCAACCATTGGTCACAGTCCACCGCCTGATATTAGTGTAGTTGTAAAATGTGATAATCGAATTTAGGTAATATTTGATTACCTCTTACTCACGAGATATCTTTCTCATAGTTATGCACTGTACAATTGCAGGTAAGTGGCGTAAAAAATCACATTAGTTTTCCACTTCAAATTATGGATGAAATAATTTAAGGTAGCCCGTATATGCAACAGCCTTATATATTCTTATGTTATTAAAATAGAACAGCGGTAAAATGCAGTCAAGAATGCATCAAACAAATACAAGACTTTCTTGCCGAACGCTATTTACTAACTGATAAATTTTTTAATTGTTGATTTCAAAACAACGAAGTAGTCTTAAGTATTTGGGTTGTCTACAAATAAATAGGTCAAGAAAATCTAAAAATCTGTCTTTCCGCTACACTTGTTTTTTCTCTCTATCTAATTCCATATAATATATTAATTCTGAACCTGCGCATTTTTAAATTCACCGTTATGTAACCGTCTTTAAGGAGAAATACCTCATGTGTATCTATTTAATTTAACGTGAAAAAATTTATTACTAACATGAGTATACTTTGGAACCTCTAAGTAGAATGAGGTTTATTTTACTACGTAATATAACCATACTTAACCTAGTCGTTCTGAAAACTGTCAACAAATTAGTCAGTTATAAGTAATTTTTCACCATTGGTCAAGATAATCACAGAGATTTCAACCAAGTAGTGTACGCCTACTACTTCAGTACTCATACAGGTAATTTCACCCAATTGTGCCAACATAGTGCAGTAACTTAAGGCGGCTCACATATGTACCTAGTTCGACATGGCGTATGGTTGACTAACTCTATTTTCCTTTAAGTCTTGATCTCAGTGTCATTCCACATTTGTAATCCTTCTATTTTATTTGTCCTTTTAAGCCTTATCATCTATGTTTAACCATCTACTGCGATTAATATTTTCCTTATCCTGTTTAACTTATTCGTTCTCTATATTAATTTAAACTGGCGAAACTTGATACAATATATTATTAAGTCTAATTTTATCTGCAATTGATTTTATAAATATCAGCACTGAGTTGTACCTTTTCTAATTTTTCCTCCATTTATCCAGATAAATGGAGTCCTGCTCTTCAAATACGCACTGTTCTACTGTCTATTCAAGCATTGTTAAGTGCACCAAATCCTGAAGATCCACTGGACGGTGAAGTTGCATCACATTGGAAACAAAATGAACCAGAAGCTCTTGCTAAAGGTCGGCTTATGTGAGATATTAATAAGTCTTTGTTATTATTTAAACTATTTTGAATGGTGGCCGCTAAATTACTAAGCCAATAAGTCTCAAGTTCGAATCTCGCTCCAATTACTTAAGTTTAATCAGTTGGGTAGTATTGATAGTCATCAACATTTAGAGTATGACCTAAAATCAGGTACACGAATTTGTATCTGGTAAATAAGTTTTTAAAATAATTACGATAAATAGAAAAGATTCATATAATAACAGTCAAGAGAATACGATCATGTTTAAAAATGTTTTGATGTCCTGTTACTACACAACTAATGATTTGTACTGCTAATCATCAAGATAGCTAATTCAATCGAACTAACTACTGACATTAATTGGTGAAGTTGACAAAATGTTTATTCATTGATGAGCTAAATGGTTTTAAAAGTTTTATTGAACCGGGAATATTTAAATTAACCTTAACCAACTACCTTCATATAATGGCCTTGTTATTCTCCTATAATCATCCAGTCAATCTATATTGAAGTCTTATTATACTAAACAGGTCGGTTGCAGAACGTTATGGCTAAAACCAATAAGTTTAAGGTTCATAGGCGAGTCACTATTGCTGACTACTGAGTTGCAGGGGTGGTCACTAAGTTCCTTTCCACGAACAACCGACGTCTTCACTATAAATCGAAGTTATAAACTCAGAGAACATTGATCGTAAAACTAACAAACCTCAGTACTACACAGATCTCCGATTCTAATGAAAGGTTCAAAAATGCAGCTAAAACAACAAATTACTCTGCATCACTTTAAAAATATGAATCACTATATTTAATTTTCTACAAAGCATGTCTAAGGGTACCAGTATTTTATAGTTGCAAGTAGTCAACATGGTTTTCTATCGGCTATCTCTAGCCATTAAACATCTCAACATAGTCCACACAACGTTGAGTCGCCTAGACTAGTGAGTCGCATTGCAAATCGGTCGACAGAATTCGATCAGGACTAAAAAGAACAAGACAAACATGACATTGATCATCACTCAGTGAACATATCACTTCCCTGTTACATTCTATTCATTGTTTGTGTAAATATTTCTTTGTTAGTCATTTTCAGTTTTATCTTTATTATTAAAGCACGTGAATGGACTCAGCTTTACGCTAGACATAATTAATTCCTGGACAATAGTACTAGCACTGACCAACACCTCGTAGAATATCGTTCTTCTTTTAATGGATAACCGAAACATGATCAAACATTTTCTATTATATATATAGTAATTGATATATTTGTATTTATGGAGATCTCCGGTACTCAATTCTGTTGTTGAATTTTTCCTCTTCAATCACAATGCAGAAGTTACATAAAGTGGTTTTGTTATACATTACGTGAAATCATTTTGAAGCTTTAAACTATTATGACAACAATTTTCTATATTCTCTTTTCGGTTATTAACTTCTCTATTGCTCCCGTATCTATGTGTGTCCCGCTTTCAAAGAAAGTAATTTCTTTTTTTGTATCGCATACATCCTCCATTTACTGGTTTTGCAAAATTTTGCCATACTACTACCACTACCTATATTATGTTAATAGTAGTATGTAGTCCCTGTTTTTGTGTATCTTTATTACCATATGATTTATTTATCTCTATATTCTCTCCATCTCTCTAGTCTCCTAGTATGTTGGTACATGTATGTAGGTACTGTGTGTTTGTGTAATAAGGACGGGTTATATGATGACCATTGAACAGTCGTATATATTGGATTCTGTCCCCCTAATTTTTAGAAAGCCAAAAGTCTTTGAAAAAACCCACCCAAAATACCTGAATATTGACTTCACCAGCGTATAATGTATAAGTACGCTAATGTTCGTTGCTTGTTTATTATTAGGATTATGTTTTTTCCAAGCATTATTATTACTTCATACTGTTGATCATCTAACTGCAAACAAACAAACAGATATTTCTTGTCCATCATTACTTTTTTTTCAATGAGCGAGTACAGTTTTTTTTGCCGTAAAAAATAAACATAATTGCTCAGGCAAAAATTGAAAAATCTCTTTCTAATTCTCTAGCTGTAAATGTCCTAATAAGAATATGTATTATATGTGAGTAAAAATGACTGTCTTCATATGTGAGTTTATTATTAATTTCTTTGTTGTTGTTGCAATGATCAATTTTAAAAATGATCAATATTCATAGGTTTCATCCAGCAATTAAACATTGCTGGTTTTAGCATAAGTTTTGAAGTGGTAAAACAATTGTAGCTCAAGTTGATGATTTTGTTACAGCTTCGTTCTCTGAACCAGATGGCTTGATCTTGAAGTCCTCATCGTTCTCCTGAATAGCATCATTAACACAAACACAGAATTCCGATATTCATCCACACATACCAATTAATCCCTCTTTTCTCAAACAATATTTGAATGCTTAGATTATCATCATCATTTGACAATGATGATTCATCTTGTTAATTTCATCCCTCATTGTAAACTTCCTACGGCAAACTGGGTCAACGTACATTTGTAGTAGACTGCATTGAATATGAATAACTGACTGGCAAGGTAAGTGTAATTAATAATGTGACTATAAGACGAATCTTAGAGTCAGTCAGTCAGCTACATAGTAGGACCAGGCACATATGTGCATCAGTCCAAGTTGCCACACCTTATTAGCACAACAAGATGAACAACGAATTCATAGATAATTCAATGGTTGTAATATATAAAAGAAAAAATGCATATAAGGATATAGTACAGGAAGAAAGAATTAGTTCGTAGAAAGGAAGATATGAAGCGATTTTAATCTCACGGTTTGAGGGAAGACAGAAAGTGTATACACCGACGCCATTATGATCGATTCTGAGCCATGTCACCAAGAGTCTCCAACCATTGATTACGATAGTCACGCGGACCCCAACCAAGTAGTCTGCATCTACTAACATGGCTCAGACTAGAAGTTAGTGTCTTCAAGCACTGATGTCACATTTTGGTCTGGCCGCCCCTAACTTTCTTCCAACCATCCTGAACACCGGTTAGCATTGCACGTCGTGGGAATCAGTGTTCAAGCACCAAGTCAGTTACGAAGAAACGCAAGAAATCGCACAAATACACATCGAGAAGAATTGTCACACTTTTAAAATCCACACAGCGACAGAAAAGTAATAATAGTAACAAACCCAACATCACAGTTCGAAAAGAATAGATGAGGGTTTAAAGTAGTATAAAATCATAATGAATTTCAAGATTCGGGAGGATTTGTGAACCCATATCGATGAAACCGATTGTGAAGTTTATGCCTTAGAAATTCTTAATCAAAAAGAAGAAAACGATGTATCATCTAGGAAACACTTCATCCAATAAATAATTTAAGGAACGTACTTTACTCTGAATTATGATAAAGAAGATCGTGGCAATATAAATGATAGTAATAAGATTATTAGTAACTATTAAGCAAAACAACTTTGTATTTTTTTCACTACCAAACATCTATTTAGAAAAACAAAACAACTCGATAACATATATAAAGTTCATTGTATCGTAATTTATAAGGCAACAATTCTAGGAAGAAGTTACATAAAGCGAAAGGGCAATAGACAATGAAATGAAAATAAGAACAGTAATGAAAATAACTGCTGTTACCTCGTTTTGTATAGATGTTTTAGAAAATAAAAATGCTATTTAATTCCATTATTGCACATATGTGAACATTTTCCTAAAAAAATATATTCATAATTATATATTGCTTCAAGCGATTCAGTCCTTAAAAAAAATTCAACCAATAGAAAATGAGAAAGAAATACAATCAGGTCAACACATGCTTAAACTGGAAGTTAATTGGTCAATAGTATTATGTAATTTAAAATGTTTTGATTGGTTAACAAATGGTATACCTTTCATGATTACACACAAAATGGATGTGATATCATGTTAGAAAATTATGATAACCGAACAAATATAATATTATTTATTCATTTGATTTAATAGACAAATATTACAAATCAGGCCGGTAAAATGTTTTAATGTGTATTGTAGAGTAAAAGAAGTGTTGAAAGCAATCATTAATAAATAATGATTTATCAAAAAAAACGATGAAAATAATGTATAGAAAGTAACCGTATGTGAATTTATGTTTACAAATAAGGATTAGGACTTTTTTTTCTAGAAAAAATTTGCCTACTGATGTATAAAATTCTTTTTCATTTTTCCACTAATATAATAAGATCAAAGTATGGAAGCAACTTTCAAGAGATAAATTAAATTGTTTTTGTAATAAACATTTTCTGTGAATTATAACAGACATATTATAGGAGAAAGTGAACGAGAACCGGGACATCATTAGCTACATACACAAGAATCATCAAACTGGAGAAGAGTAAAGAATCGCAATGATGTAAATTAATTACTTGCGCTTGATAATGGAGATGAGAAATTAGTTGAAGATGATGATGACGATGAAGAATAATTTGTAGAATCTGAAGATAGATCTGATTTCCCTGTAAAGGATGAAGACATATTATGATGATACTGGTCACTAACATTATCTTGTAATGTTAGTAATAAAGGCAAATAAACTGTATCATGTAAACGATCCTTATCATCATACCTTTTATTGGATAATTTCATCAACCTGGTTGCATATTGCTCTTCAGTAACAGCAGCATGACTGCTTCTGATACTAATATCATTATGATTAAACGTAACCCTAAGATCATCAGTATTTTTTAAATGCACTAAAGATATCGCCGAAGACAATGATGGTTGTATTAGTGTCTGTTGTGAACACGATGCATAGGGACAACATATCGGCTTTTTCTCAATCTTATCCTCATCATCATCATTCAATAAAACTTTCTTATAACATGGACTGGATAAATTTGTTGTTAACATCTCAGAAGATAATTTGTGATCATTAGGAGGACAGTAGAACATATCTGATGATTGATGTTGTTGGCGTCTCGATTGTTGTCGATGGTGGCAGTGTTGTTGATCATTAGAACGATACAGATTATAGTGATAGTTTGATTTATTCTTTGTCAGTGCACGATCATTTTCAGAAGAAAATAATAAACCATCATTCAATAGATAATTAGGATCAGAATAAATACCATCCTTAAATTGATTTTTGGAAAAATATGTAGGAAGCAACAAATTATTGAAATCAGTGATATGAGTAGCATTACTCATAGGTGAAGTTATACACTGGACACATGCCTTTTGTTGCTTAGTAATATATGAAGAAAAATAAGAATCATTATGATGACAGTATGGTTTCACTGATTTTATAAGATTTTGACATTGCTTACAAGAAAAAGGCGCGAGACACTGTGTGTTTGATAATTGCTCATTACTAGTGAATAGAATCTTATTGTTTGAGAATGACTTGTGATTCTTTGGAACTGAACACAAGATTACCTGAAGGATGAATTTAAAAAAACAAAGAAAACCATCCATTAGTAAATAACCATGTTTAAAGACTGAAGAATGCCGCCCAAAAACTATATATTCAGAATGTTTTGATGTCTCCATTGATCTAGAAGGCAATAATTTCAGAGCTTCCATTCTTATTCAGGACATCAATGCTTGCTTCATGTAGAGAGTGAACCTTCCAATTATTCTACACATGCTACATCAGTCAGTTCTGACGACGTTGTTTGTGATTTATTTATTTGTAGGTTTTTTTATATTGACTAGTTCGCGCATTCATGTTGAACAAATGAAGGTAGCAAAACCTATGGATAATATATATATATATATATATATATATATATATATATATATATATATATATATATATATATATATATATATATATATATATATATTCAATTTCTTATATTGCATAAGGTCCATTTGTGAATTGGTTTACTCCGGACAATACAGATTCACAAACTATGGTAAAACAGCTATGTTGAGTGTCTTCAGGTTTTTCATAGCTCTGCGATTGAATTCAGTCTACGACGATTGTTTAGGTTGGTAAAAGGCTAACGGGCTAAACCAAGACGTGATATCACTCCATGAAATACTAGAATATCTGGTTGAAGTCCGCACCATCATTGTAACTAATGGTTGAATATGCTGGATGATATGGCTCGCAATCGATCACAATAGCACGGATGCGTTCAGACTCTTTCTTAAATTATTTATACTTTTTATCCTCAAGATTAAATATTTCTCAAATCATATCGTCGGTGTCCAATCTTCTCTGATAGCAATGATATCAAAATTACTCTTACTACTTTGGGATTTGTCGTGATAATGTCGTCTCGATTTGCAAGCTGGAACCGATGTACATAAGTATCAGGTTTTACGTTGCTGACTGACAGAATGTCAATGATAAAAATGGTGTCTGCAAACTTACCACTTTTTCCATGATTTTTTCTCTTCTGGTGTTTCGACTCTACTTATATCTCACTGCCCCTTTCTCCGGAAAATCCCATCAAAAGTTATTAAATTAATGAAAAACAAGAAAGCCATATATAAAAAATTTCGTCCAAATTTGATCATATAGTTTCACAGTATTTGGGCGCCGAGTTGATATGAGACATCAACGAGGAAGAATGTGTTTGTAAAATCTCGGCAAATAAATTTGAAGTAAATCCAACATATTCGATTCATACCATACATAAAAATGGTATGTTTTCTTAAAAATTCATCGATCAGAGACAATATATGGTGAATGAGATTTCTTCTCACACCACTTACGTATACACGCAATCTGTTATCTTAACAATTTTCGTTTTACATATGTATCTTACACAGTAAAGCAAATACCTACTTTAAACATTCTTAACGTTGATTGTATAACCTATTTAGTATTCAGTTAACCATAGAACCATGTACCTATTTATATTCGATAATCTTGATGTTTGATTATATTTACTTGGAAAAGCTTAGACCAGATTGCCAGGCGAAACGTTAGATTTACTTCGAATTCATTGGCTGAGATTTTATAAATATATTCTTCCTCTTAAGATAGTTAGACGGAAAAAACTCGAGCGGCAATTGACTTAGGGTTAACAGTGAAATCCGAAATACCGATTTTACTTTTATTAGCGGTTCCTCGCCAACCCGACATCCATCTACATTTTAATGTTGATAGATAACAGTGAAACTCGATTTTCTTAGTATTTATCGCTTTAAATACTAGGCTGTTAGTTTAAATAATACATAAAAACAACCCTATTTACCTGATCATCACAAATTGAACATGGCTGTGATGCTTTACCTAACGATACTAAATGATGATCGTAATGATGATTTGAATTTCTGGTCAATTTATTGATAGTATTATTTCTAATACCACTACTGTTATATAAATTATTAGAAGACAATGAATATAATGATCGAGATGTAGTTGTGGTTGTAATGGTCGTGGATCCACCGGTGATTTCTGTTGATTTCCAACCAATATCACTAGGATTAAATGTACAACGTTGCGTAGTATGGTGTTCACAATAAGTCATATTCATAACTGGTAGACTACAACTACATACAGATGTGGATGACGATGATGAGGCTGTTGAAGTAGTAGTAGTAGTGATGGTTGTTGTTGAAACAAATGAATTATTCTTTTTGATTATCAATGTATTGATATTTCTCATAGGATTACAACAGTCTGTTATGTAACATTGTTGTTTCGTTGAGGGTGGTGGTTGTTGTAACATAAACATATACTCATTGATTCTACAAACAAGTAAACTTTCCAATGAATCCGGTAAACCATATTTCCATAAGGAGCGTAAACGTAGAATATGATGAATATATTTGTTGTTTGTACATGGATGATGACTTATGGGATCATCCTAAAAAATATTGGCAGAAAAATAACGACATATAATAGTGATTATTTATACTTTGAATTATCTCGTCGTCGATATTCATGACTGAGTTTCGATTAGTTTCTATTGGTACCCTGTTGAACAGTTATAAATAGGAGGAAACGCGCGTCTTGGGTCACACTGCTAGCAACACTCATATTTTTGCAACTTATAGTTAGTGTTATGTGGTCGATGGTGATGGATAGATAGTTCCGGACTTTAGTTTCAAGCTAGTCAGCACTTGTCAACGAGGTAAATTTGTAGTGATGAGAGAACTAACACGTGCAGCACGATATAAACTATGTGTTACAGTTAGAGACGTAACCATCAAGCTACATATATGATTAGGAAGTCGAATATACGAGCTGAAAATTTCGTCCTATTCGGGGCTCATTAACCAACTCTCAACATTAAAATCAGTGAACGGAGATTTAAATGTGGGTTTGATCAGTGATTTACGCCCATACTTCATCGACTATGTATCATTGCAACAGTAATGTTGAACTATACTTGATACGTTAGTTGAAATAAGGACCAATTTCATAAGCACATGTTCTGATGACAATATGTACAATATACATGGGCGTAATAAAAGTGTAGGAATCGCTCATTAAATGTATAATTTGTAAACAGTGTACCAGTATCAAATTTTGGACACCACCCGTTACAACACTTTAAGCTACATTCTAATATAACTACTAGGCCCCCCTAATTGAAGCGGGCTTTCAAATTGTTGTTACTAACTTTGAGCTTCACTATTTAAGTTATCCAACGACTGAATACGATTATTTTTCGAACCTCTGATAATGAATCCGTACCTTTCGATACAATGACTTGATGAACGCTAATGTTTTATCTTAAAATGATCATCTTGAGCTATTTTAAGACTTACACTAGTGATGGTTGAGTGTGTGAAACACATCTAGACTAACTCAGTCATTAAAGATCTACAGTTTTATTAACTGATTTGTCATTTCTATCTAGTAATATAGTTTTAACCTCAGTAAGATACATTCAGTGGTCCCACTGTATCCTAGCATCGTTTTGAAGACATCCAACTTCGAAGTTTATTCTTTATAGCCGTGAATTAATAAAGTCGATCATCGAGAAAGTATCTACGGAAGTAATGTAATGAAGCGAATCAAGCACTTTAGTGAATGTCGTGAAGATTACAAGAATGATACAACACCAGGATCACTGTCCATATACAGTACTGATGAAAATACTAAATCTAAAGTTTCTTGCACTCTTCAGTGGTCTGTATGAGTTTTGGTCAGTAAAATCCATAGAAATCGCATGTACACATGACTCTAGCAAAACATGAGACGATAAAGAAGTTAAAGAGATTGACTTTTGAAGAGTTTCACTGAAGACACAAGTATTTGGTCACAAACAAAAAGTATTTTGAAATGGGTGAGACCGATGTTTTCCTTTTTTTCTCGAATTATCGATCTGTCGGAAATCAATCGATGGGAAATGGAGGCTTCAGTTTCACAAGGTTGAATAAAAACTAACGGGAAAAGAAAAACAAGGTGATATTTATTGAACTGATTATTATGTCCCTATCCTCTATTTCTAATAACTATTTCTATCAAATTATTTTTTATACAATGAAATGACAAATGGTAGAATATGGAAGCGAAACTAATATGCAAACACTATACATAACATTAGAAATTCATTTGTAAGACGAAAGGGAAATCATTAAAAAGAGTGGGAAAATATGGTGAAGTCAAAGCATAGAGACTAAATGATTAACTTATGAAACTAAATAAATAATGCCATATGTCACTTTGATTTATATATATATGTCCTTTGAATAACTGAATTTATTTTTAATAGCTGAAATAAACTATGTTGAGTTTGAAGCACTTACCTACCTCTGCCACTGGAGGATAGTTACGCAGTATTGAGAATCGACTAAAGTTAGACGCGTAAAGCAGTGAATAGCAACACAGTGATCTAAACGTCAGGTACTGGGTTCGGATCCTGGTGGGGTCACGGATGTGCACCAGTGAGAAGTCCCTTACCAGAATAAGACAATTGTCTTCCTAGTCCTTCCTGATTTTCAGTGGTTTTTATAGCAATGATCAGTTCATGATGTAAACTTTTTATTAAAAATGTCACTATTTAATTATTGCTGAGAAACAAAACAAGAACCGTACAGAGAAAACAAATAATGTAAGATGCTGGTGTTTGGCGATAATCAACAAGAAACAATAAACCTAGTTTTCATGCTATTCGGCACTCGTAAGTAAAGTGTACCTGAGATATTAGAGGAATTGATGGACTTGGAGAATTCAGTCCCGTGTTACCCAGCTTCAGTTACAGACACTACGACTGACCTCCTGTATGGTTGATCCGTATTTACAATCTACTGATCACTGAGTAAAGACCAATGTCATGTATATCAAGCCCTTTTTAGTCCCGATCGAATTCTATCGATCAAGCTACCATGCAGTAACGTCTCTGACGATGGACTTGGGTGACACCGGGTCGAATCCGCCAGGGGGTGTCAGTTCTTTCAAGATTACGGGTACACCTTGATGACGAGTGCCAAATAACAGGAAGTTCAGGTCCAGAGTTTCCTGTTGACTACCCTAAATCTCTACCTTGCATCTCAGCATAGTGTACGAGATATCGAGTCACTAAGACTAGTAGTAACTTGATTGACAGAATTCGACCAACACTAAGAAGGAATTGACATACATGACATTTGCCACTAGACAGTGACTAATCACTTATAAAAACAAATAATGTACAGAAAAAATTTATCATTTTCATTATCACCACTAGCAATACTACTTACCATGAACTCACGAACTAATCTCATGTAATAATCGATAATACTGCTCCATTGACTTGACGGTAGTAAACAATAAGCAAAGTCACGACATTTATAATCGCAACATATTGTGAACTTTTTATTCATGAAAAAGTGACTATTAACATTATTATGATCATTATTTTCAATTGATTTTGAACCGAAACGTTTTTTAGCCAAATCTGGAAAGCTTAAATCACATTCTGATGAGAAATCTTGTGAATAATCTCTAGTGATATCAGTAGTATATGTCTGTTGATGATTTAAATTAAAAGATTTGTTATGATATTTATTGAAAGATGATTGATGAATGCGTTTAGTTGTGTTCGGTGAGAAATTTGTTAAATTACATGATTGATCAAATTTACGCGATAATAAAAACTCCCAGCATGTACACTCAGAAGATTGAGATTGTGAATGGAAATTATCAACATTATTATTATTATTATTATTATTATTATTATTATTATTATTATTGTTCATTATATGTAACCTTTGATGATGTACAGCATGCTTCTGAATAAAAAGCATCTTAATAAAAACAGAAGAGAAAACAGAACATAAAATTTTTGAATAATATCAACATGGAGAATAATTATGCCATAACAATAACTTAACTTAAAATTCAATCGCTGAGAGTTTATGAATATATTATTCCTCCATAATGTCTTACATTAATTCGACGCTCAAATACTGTGAAACTATTCGTTCGAATTTAGATCAAAGTTCTTATAGCCTTATTCAATATTGTAAATTATATATTATAATTAGTTAATGTTTAAATTATCCCATTGTTAATATTCAAGATTGAACTCTGATTACTCCTCGTTGTTATATGTGAATCCTATGATGATTATCCTGATATAAATATTTGATTTTAAGTTTATTTTAAAACGAATGGATTACGATTAGTGATAGAATAAAGGATGTATAATTCCCCTTATATGTGGCTCGTTAGCTGGATGTACATGCACTCCAATGTTGATGTTCACACAAGGATTCAAGGCTAGTAACTTTCATTTCAAACGCCACTCGATGTCATAATTTAGATTGTTGGACATACCTTATATATTCTTTATAAAAACTTGTGATAAAATGGCCATATTGAGACAATCCGCACGAGATACACATACGCCAACCGAGACTGAAAAATACTCAATAAAGAATATCAAGAGCAAAATAATTACAAATTAAATAAGAATTCATACTCATTGCACAAACTAGTAGTTATTTGGATTCACTGGGTGCTTGAAGCAGAGGGCATTCGGGTTGAAGTCCCAGTATGAATACCAACATTGAAATGCAGGTAAATACAAATGACGCGAACTAAAGAGGACAATATCTCCATCCTGAGTGTTACAAATAGTCCCACATTCCATCTATTCTATAAAACATCTTTCTGTTGGTCAATCGTGAAGGTTTTCTTTAAGTTCAACTGCGACAACTGCCTTTTTTCCATAAGTCATATATAAGGTGGACGAATTCAAATGTATTCGCCACTTTTTTTCAGAGTATATATAAAGAGGAAAATATGCTAGTAATCACGGTGTTTTTGTTGGATTTTATCAGTATTTAGCTTTACCATAGATTAAAACGTTTGTTAAAAAGCACTTGAGTACATACAATTACTATTCATAGCTATTCAGTTCACAACAAATTTAAAATAGGAAAGTTAATTTTAATATTTACACAGTTTGAAAATGGGTGGCTTAAGTGTTTGAGCAAACGATGTTACGTAGGGTGATGCCATATTGGTTAAAATATCTAGCCAATAGTTCACAGGGTTCGAACGCAATTTCGACTGCTTCAGCTTGAGTGGCCGAGTTGTGTGAAATCAAATCAGAGCAAATAAACCTATACTTGATAAATAGGCAACATTTTTTCATCACCCATCATGTCTTAAAATCAATGATCGGAATTTCAATTTCTTATGATCACATCCTTAGACAACTCTTGATAACGTTGAGCAAATCAAAAGGTAGTAATACCGGTTGAAATGTTACTTTAAGTTTAGTTTTGGTAAGGACAGGAAAAAAGATTTACACATATATGGCTGTATACAACGATGAGGTCTCAAAACCTTAAAAAAAGTGCCAAGACCCGTAATATTTAATGAACTAATTAGATTCGAAGCTAACGTAAATACGTTAGCTTCCGAAATTTATCAGAAAAAGATCTGACTGGTTAAACGTATTTTAAATATTTCACAGCTTGTGTAAGGTTCGACAGAATGATTATTTAGAAACCCTAGTGATTACGTAATCGGTGTGTAAGCTGCGTTTGTCACAGGTTGAACTCAGTTAATATAACATTACAGACCAGGGAGGACTGGTAAACTGTTTATTCTAGTATGGAACTCCTCAACAGTTTCTACTCATAACCTATCAGAAGTTGAGACCAGTACCTTTAGATCTGTAGGCGAATGCTCAACCATTAGAACAACTCGGTCGATGTTTATTGGCACAATTTCAACGTCAATTAATTTGTGATACGGTGTAATGGTCATACAATAACATTAGTGGTGTTTTATTCCCGATATCTCTGAGCTCCACCAAATCACGACTTCTCACTAAAGCTTCAAAAACCACCTGAATTAAGTCCTCGATCCTATATGGTTTCAATCATACCCTGTCTGTGACAAACGAAACCTACAAATCAAACCAATTTCTATAAAACCCTTCCAACATAAATGATTATTAACCAAGTAAAATTTTTTAAATGGGATGAGACTAATAATAATGATACTACTTGGCAGCTAGAAGAGAAGTAGGCAGACCACTGATTGAACATGCAATGTAATCGTTGAAAATCCAGTTTTAATGCACTATGAAATAATAATCTTTAAACAAAGATATCTTTATCACTTTTCTATGATTTCGAAATTTAATGCAGATGATGAGTTAGTTTTTTTTCTGTAAATTTCATAAGCGAATATTATTAATCAAGCGAAAAATTTCCCAAACACAACTTACTCGAACTTCATTTAAAAATGGATAATATAATCTAGGTGGAAGATGCAGAAATTTCAACTGTGAGTTCATTCGATTTGTATAATTTAACCATACATTAGAATTATCTGATAATGATTTCCGAACAACAGAAGCCCCAGTGGCGGTGATCAATGATGGATTCTCTATAAGATGTTGTTTATTCCAACAACAAACGCAGTCATCGTCAATATTAATATTAGTGGAATTAAGTTTATGACCGGCTGATAGACCATCATTATCATCAGTGAATAAAAGGCTAGCCCAATGGTATTTTTCTGAGAATTGTGCAGGTGATAGACTACTCCAAGGATTGGATAAAACTTTTTCAAAAGTGAACTAAAATATATTTTTAGAAAAAACTTGTTTTCAAAATGCCGAAAAATAAGATGAGATTATAGGCTTACATTTCTATATATATATATATATATATATATATATATATATGATGATTGGATATACTCTGTCCAGAAAATACGCGAATTGAGGTCATAACACATTTCACAAAATTAAGTGTCGATCAATTTTATCTCCGGAAATACTCTCTCTATTTGTAATCATACTTTTCTCACCTTTACTGGAAGCTTTCAGGACTCTGTTTCTTCAGCTGTCACATCTTTGAATGTTTGTTATAATCAAATGTATATATACATGATTTTCCTAAATTTAACATTTATCCAAGCAATAAACTATTAGAAAGTACAAGAAAATGTACAGGTCTAGTATTTTCATCAACTCAGTAGACAAACAGTCGTCCTGGATGCTTTATCATTCTCACGGTATTCACTTCTCTTAATGTGACATTTATTGCATTCTCTCCATAAATTACCTTTGACTCTGCAGAAATCTCTAGGGTTTTCTTCATGTTTCCTCAAAAACTATAGTAGTTCAGTTTGTGCATATATTGAAAGTATTATGTACATTAGAAATATAGCACTAAGTCTTTCAAATGAACGAATAAAAAAAGGAAAACAGTTCATTTTTACTTCGTAAAGTAATAAATTTATATTAAGATAAAATGAATGTAATTAAAATTTACATTACGAATAACCCTGTTGTTATGCCATGAATTCCAAAGGTTACTGGACATTGAATGAATTAAGTGCTATGGATGTCGATCATTTCTCTTTTTCATAATAAATATACACTACTTATACAGATACTATCACTAAGCGATAATTAATTTAAGCATCATTGCTGTAAGGGTTTAAAATTTCTGACTGTTCATATTACGGAGTAGTCAACAGTGGGAAACTACATGTCCTTTATATCCGTTAAACAAGAAAGTGACTATTTGAACTCAGTAGTTTAGTGGGTAATATGTTGTCGTTTGAAGCGATGAGAACTAAGTTAACATCTTAGTATGAATATTAATACTGGGATATAACAGATACATCCAGTTGACAAGTTCCAGATAAAACATATTCAATGTACTGTTAATCTAAACACTGTCTACATCATTAATTGAAATTAAATAATCAACAATCGTTAATGGAATACAAGTGAATAATAATCTCTTTTTGACCTACTTGTCTCTCTGAACAAATAGATTGGGAAGACTTTATCAAGTGAATAAGTGAATTCCATGGTGAATTGAAGAAATCTTTATTTTGACAACAGCCAAAATTATGAAGAGTTTTCACGGAATTTAAAACAACAACAGTAGATGAATTATGTGCATTAACATGTTGGTAGTTATCACAGTAATAACGTAGTAGAACACTTGCTAATTCGTTAGGCATAGGACTAAGTAGATGAGCTGGTCGAATACAATCCAATAAATTGTATTCATTTAATAAATTTACAATTGATACTAAGTCAATTAATTGTGTATATGTTATCATTTTATCAAGATTATGATTGAGAGTAAAAGATTCATTTGAAACAGACTTATTGTTAGCATTATTATTCGTGGTGGTAGTAGTAGTAGTAGTAGTGGTAGAAGTACCATGACATAAATGACAAGATGGTAAACGTAATGCACAATCAATATTTGATGTTGGCCTTTTCATACTGTTTTCTACATTATTCCAACCACTACATAGTAATAACCAATGATTAAAATAGGAAAGATCATTTTCTTCAGTAACTGTTATTGATGATGATGTATCATTACCGGATAGACTACAGTTTATAACAGATGGATTATCAATAATTGATGTTAAAATTGACTGATATTCAATAGATACATTATCTAATATTTTATCTGGTTGAATATTCGTTTCATTATCTAAATATTGTACATTGAAGAAATGGGATATTCAATAAACAAAAATAATTTATTAGTAAGAAATAAAAAATCATCGGATTCACGAGGTGTATTTAATAGATAAATCAAAATCGATATTATGACTTATATATATAGTTAGTTTAATATACAACATGAGTCGATAAAGTCACTGACGACTGAATTTAACCGTGTTGGTAGTTGCAGACTACCTAGTCGGAGTCAACACGTTTGTTGTGAGCAATCAATCAAAGAAGTTGAGTGATATGCTTCAGAATCAATGGTAATAGCGTAGATGCATTCGTTCTTTGTCTTTCCATATATTTTGAATCAATAAAAATTTTATACTAGTTTCTGTTTCGTCATATTCATGATAGAATAATTGAGATGAATTACAAGCGTCAATAATAAATTGCAAACTAAAGTTTGATGTATCGCAAAAAGGGGTAAAATCATTGCATTCATATGATACGTCTGGTGACTGAATGTCTAGAGACCACTGACTTTCTAGTTCCCAGAAACTTGTAACTCTTGAACATCGAATGTAAAACAGAAACCAGTAAGTATGGGAGATTTATTTGTAAAGTTGGGTTATTTACAGAAAAAAGTGCATTTATAGTATTGTATTTGACCTTGAATTGTTGTAAAACATACTAAATTTGGTAATTATCTGATCAGGATAATAAAAAACCGAATCCATCATTTCCTAGGATTCTTCTAGGACTTTCTAAAGAACTCTGATTACCGAGGTATTTTCAGTATTCTCCTAGCTTCTGAAAGCTTCACTAAAGGAATTACTGAAGGTGAAGAACATTACAGATATTCACTCATTACCTAATGAGATTTCGGTTAAAGGTTACTAAGTTCACCAAAAGAACTTCAAAGACTTGGAAGTTTGTTCTCTACCGAAATGGTATACAGGCGCTGATAAAGAAACTTCAAACTGGAACAAGTAACTGGGGATGATTATCAGTGTATGATGAAAAATATTTTTGAATATTATTTCGCGACTAATAATTTTAAGAAAAAAATTCTCCTGATCACAACAAACCTCACTAACTCCCAAAACCCGATTGATCATTAACATTGGTATATACAACAGTGAAATAGTAAAGACAAGAGCTTCCTAATACCATGCTAACTTACAAGGTGATCAATGACTAAATGGAAACATAAAAAAATTAATATTTTAGGTAGTTGATACTTACCTCTACTAGGGTATACATTTGAAGATTGAACGCCGGAACATGTATTTTTTTGTTTTAGTTTGAGTTGAAGTTCACCCCAACATAATAGACCAGCTAGGATTTCAGATTCAGGTGCCTAAATAATCATTTTGTGTGCAAAAAAGCATAATTACACATAGTACTAATCAATGATTAGGTTATTTTTATTTAGAAAGAAAGAATAACAAAACACACAGTTCTAGTGAAAAGGCATCATCAATAGATTTTGACCGTGTCTATTGTGAGGAGGATACCCACCGAAGACGATGGAAGACGGTCATGCATTATTGTAAGTTGATTAAAGCTAGACATGTACACGACTGGATCCCGACTCAGTGATCTAGAGTTTTGGCGCTCGTGCGCGAGATCGAAGGTCCTGGGTTGCGGAGTCACAGATGGGTACCACTGAGGGGTTCCATACCAAGAAGAGATAACCGTCCCGTGCTGCTTGGTTTTCAATGTTCGTCTGACTGATTTATGATTTCAATATAATTCGACAACCTCCACAACTCTATACTGAAAACATAATCTCAGTGAGAAAATGTTAAATTAACTTTTATTCTATCGGTAAAAACTCATATTTCAAAGTTGTTACGGTAAGAGTCCATTATTAGTCAGTCGAAAAACAACTATTGTATATGGATAGTTTTGGGATACAAAGAATATAGTAATATTTCAAAGGTAAACAAATTTTACAGAATTAATAAATTTTTTGAAGTCTTCTATGAACTTTTCTGTAAATCGAAAAAAAACACTTATATATAAATTCGTCCATATGGATACAGAACATCCCTCTTGTTAAAGCAAGGATGAGAAAAGATTTTTAGGCGTCCCAACATTGTACCTAGAAAATATTTAAGGTTAGGATTACAGTTAAAATAAAGAGTTTAAGGATAATGTTGATCTGAGTGTTGTGTATCCATAATCACTGTGTTATGAATGAAAAAACGTTGATTGATATCATTCAGTAAATGCACCAATCGGAGTCCCGGTTATAATTTCCATATCCCTTAGACAAGCTTCTCCTATCATATTTCAGGTTCCCAGTATTATTTTTTATCTCAAACACTCATTAGTTTACATACGTGAATTAACAGATCACGATGCATCTCAATCAAGAAATTACCCTTAATCACTTAATTGAACCATACACAGAGAACCGAGTAGATGGTACATGATTGATTAATAATAATTAAGGGGTAGTAAATCGCACAACAATAGTTGATAGGTCTGATAGAAGTTCAAAATACCAGGAATAATAATAATCAATCCTACACTAGTTTTTTATGACTTCCAATATATTACTTATCATCTTTTATATACAGTTACAAAGCTGACTGACTCTATACGGTGGAGTACTGTTTTTGCAGTTCAAGTACTTGGAGGCATCATTTGTTTATTTTATTTGAACACATAGATATTGGTACAAGTAGGCACCAAATACATATGCGCCATACAAATCACATCTTCCATGGCAGAGGCCATATGCGCGTGGCCATGTGAGAGTATTACGAGAGGGAGGGCGGACTCTCCCCACTCCCGGCCGTACCAGGACATTTGGGGGCTCAAGTACTTGACTTCAAACTAGTATGCCACAGGTTTTAAACATCGGCAGCTGATGAGTACGAATAGCTCTTGGACAAAACGTATGGCTTAAATCCCGGTAAATAAAAAACTGTTTTCATTGGTGGATCAATGAACAGTGACCAATATTATTCATGCCTAGACCCTAGTGATAATCAAAGTTTATCGATCAAGTTGTGCAATGTGGCTACCAGTCTAAGTGACTCGATATTGTATTCATTGTGTTTAATTATTAGATGATTGGAGGTAATCTGTAAGGTTCCTTAGACCTAGTTGTCGTACTAGTTGGCACTCGCCATCAAGACGTCCCTGTAATTTTGAGATGGCTGACATTTCATTTCAACACCATGTCACCCAGTTTAACAATATGAAACGTTACAATTGAGGTGTTGGGGTTATAAGTATCCTATAAGACTGAGATGCTTACATAAATCGGTCACTAAGTGCTCACTAATATCATGTTTGTCCAATCCTTAGTGCTGATCGCATTTTATCGACCAATTCTAAGTGACTCAATATTCCCAAATCTTACAAGGAGCGTCAGTTACTTCAATAATGCAGGTACGCCTTGTCGACAAGTGTCATCTATTACAAAACCCAAGTCCAGGGCGTCCTCCAAGCTATATCTAATCAACTAACACAAAACTGTTACTTAGTGAACCAGCTACATGAGTTATAACTGGGATCCAGTAGGCGAGAAGTTCCGCTTGACACTTCAATTCGAATCTCTGAGCTGCGCCTTAAAACAACAAACATTTTTTTCACGAATGTCAATTAGAGATGAAATAAATACTAGCTGTTAAGTCACAGATATCTGAGGGCTAATATTTTAACCATTTTGATTACAACAAATGTTTCACGCAATAAAAGAGGACCGGCATTTCATAAAAAAGTTAAAATACGATTCCATGTACAGGTACTAAAACATACTTGAACAAGACTAGAATCGAGCAATTCATAAAGCTGTTGAGGTGATAGCCGTTGTAAAATAAATGGTGAACGAACTAATGAAGTGAAATTTTGCCGTAAACATTGTATAGCATGACGATATACAAAACCAAGAGATGTCCCATTATAAGGAGAAGAAACATGAGAATTATTATCATTCGATTTGAAAATGTATTGATTATCCAAAGGAGATGAAGAATCTTCGTTGGGTTTTGATTGCTGACTAACGGTTGGAGAGCATGAAGTATTATTATTACGTCGTGAAAATTGAGTATTCAAAAATGGTTCTGGCAAAGACGATGATGTAAATGGTGATTTTTCATCGATCCATCTTAGTAAACCAACAGCTAAACTAATTGAACTCATTTTCACAGAAGAAGAAATATCTTGTTGTCTCCTTGTAGTAGTAGACAAACTTTTCCAGTTATTGTTTTCACAGTTTTCAAAACCAATTGATGGTAAACTCAGAGCTTCTGCTAACAAATCTTCACATACTATTTTATAAAAAAGAGGGAAAATATTTCTCATCCATTGAAAATAAAAGTAGAAACTTACTGCTTCAAGATGGTCAAAAATTTAAAAATACAAGAATAGAGTAATTTAAACCATACCATACGTGACACTATTATGTTTTTGGAGGTAGTCGACAGAAAACCCTGGACCTAGATTTCGAACTAGTTGGAACTCATTGTCAGCAAGACATACCTACAGTCTTGAGGGGACTGATTTTCTCTATAGGGTTCGAATTTGTATCGCCTAGTATCGCAGTCTGAGTTGCTACCACTGAGTTATTCAGTCTACATGTCTTGTAGGACCGAAATAATTAAACTGACTAATCACTGAAAAGTAACCAACTTCATGTTTGTCTAATCCTTTTGGTGGTGATCAAATTCTACCAATCAAGCTAAGATGTGACCACTGGTCTGAGTGAATCTACATCGTCTGCATCATATTTTAGTGTTATGTGGTTGAAGATAATCAGTAAGAAACCCTGATAGATTTAAATCGACAGAATTTAATCAGCACTAACGAGTAGACAAACGTGGTATTGGCTAATACTCGGTGATAAATCAATGCATCGTATATTTAACATCTCCAAAGATACATATGTAAGTGAAATTAATGTCGTCGTTGATACAAAAACTAGTGCATTATTTTTATTAAGATTCCCAGTTATTAAAATCTGATCTCTAGAATGATGTGATTGTTTATCTCGAAAAGCTGCTACTGAAAAAATCGACAAATTTACAATTTGTTTCCGAACCGTGGCAATAACTATTGAATTTTGATCTTTCGGTTTTCTAACCGCACTAATTAAAGTGTAACTAATGAAAGTATGTTAATGACTAAGCATTATATAATGAAGTAGAAGGAATACTATAGTGAAATTAATCATAGGAACGACAATTAACTGAGATTTAAGAGGCAGATAAACAATAAATACAATCGTGATACTATGATAGACCGTAGCTCATGCATCCAACCTTCAATCATTGATTACTACAATATACAAGTCTCAATATTGCAACTATCCTGATCTATTTATTTATTTGGACATACAAATATTGGTACAAAGGAATACCGAATACATATGCACCACACAAGTCACTTGATTTATGTGTGGGCTGTGATACTGCCCGGGTGCCCAGACTGAATCAAGTGATTTTCTTAGGAGGCCACGCCCAGAGCCTTCGACCTAAAGGTCTGGTCCACAAAGCAGTGTATCAACGTCAGGAGATGCAGTCAGGATTTTCCAATTCCCCTAGGTGGATCCTCAATATCCACCAACTCATTGAAAACCAATGGGGATACCGAACAGTTGTTTTGCTCTAACACGAAATTTCTGAGCAGTGCACATCTACGGTCTTTATTATGGATAGGACCCAAGATTTTTAATCTTCGTGACCAACCCATTATATTTAGATCATACTAATTTGATCATTCAATGGTTTATATTGCCAACTTCGACCAATTACATAATATTGCCCGAACACCATTAATAGCTGTCTATAATACCTGACTTATACCCGATATATGTATTTACCTTAAAACTAGAAAAAAAGTAGGTTCGAATCCTTTCAATAATCGTAAACTATAACAAAATAGTAGCTTATTCTCGACGAAAACTGTCTCTTCAGAAATAGTTAAAAAAAAAACTCCGAAACTACTATCTAATGTTTATTAAAAAGAAGAAAATCTCTATATCATCAGTAGTAATAGTATGGAGGAGTGCTAGCTTAGAGTGTGGTCAACTTTCAACCAGCAGGTAACATGTTCGAACTCATTCTAACCTATTTTATTTAAGCCCTTATCTCACATATATATAAAGTATGACCAAAATCTTGATACCTAAATATTTATTAAGTGAGTTACACATCATGTCAATCGCAACAACAGTATTAACATTATTGCCCTTACTACTATTGCTATTAATAGTAGTAGTAGCAGTATGATTACCTTCTGAAAGTTTATGAAATTCTAAAATCGCTCCAACCGGATAAAGTTGAATTAGATGTGTTAGACAAAATGGACATCTTAGACAAAATTGTTTCACATTAAATTCGGAGGTATTCATTAAAAACTGAATTGATGTGAAAAATGATCCTGAATCAGATGCTGTACAATGACTTGAAGAATATGCATGTGTACATTTGGATGCTGGTATTGTTGTTGATGTTGATGATGAGTGATCCTCTTCAACAGATGACTTACAACACATATAATTGTCATTATAATTATTATTATTAGTAGTAGTTTTATTCAACTGACTATGTTCAGTGTGCCAATTAAAATGTAATTTATTTAGTAATGTCTGTTGATTAAAAACTAATAATAAATTTGATATTTCACTTAAATTAAGATAATCACAGTAGAAAAAGTGTAAAATCACAGTAGCAAAATGTCCTGGTATTATTTTACCATCTAAAATTATTTTATGTGTAGAATTTTGAGTATTACTCGTAGTGGTAATAGTAGTATTAGTAGCGACGGTGAGAGTGTTGGATTTACAACGCTTTAATAAAATACGACGTAGAAATTGTGAACGACAAGCTAATATGCCTGCATGACATGGCAATGTAATCGATTTTAAATTGAGTATAGGTGGACATGTGAAGATTAATTCACAGTCGTTAGAGAGTAAGCATTTATGTTGATGTGAATATTTTAGAAAATTATATAATTTCGATAAATTACTACTAGTATTACATGTATTTTTTGCTTTATCATTAATTTCTGGTTGGTACAATAGATCCGGTTTAGAAAGTAATTGTTGTGGATCATCTCCCGCGTATAATTGACATAGAAAATTGGTTAGAAACATTTTAGATGAATTCGATACATCATGAGTGTTAATTTTTAAATTATTAGGATCGAGAATACTAACACTATGTAATTTTATCGGATCATGATGATGTTGTTGTTGATGAGTTTCAGTATTCATTTTATATGAAGTATCTTGTAGTTTTAAACGTGAACTGGATAATAAATCAGGACATTTTTCAGACTGAAAATCGGATGACTGATCAACAAGTCTGTCGGATGTAGGAAGTGAATTAATTGAAGCTTTATTAGTCAGAATAGTAGTACTAGTATTAGTGATGGTACTGGTAGAAGTGATACTCATTATATTAGTATGATCAGTTGTCGACTTGTTTGGAAATCTATGAAATTTCCCACGATTCAATGAAGTAAGCATTTCATCGAAATTCCTTAACCGTGAGGCTAGTAAATAGGAATGTGCCTCATGAGTAGAGCCATTGCGAATAAGGTACGTATTAGAACACCAACCATGTTGAGCTAAAGACCAGAGATCATCCTGAAAGTGGGATAATTAAGAAAGAAAAACAGAAATAAACGAACTTAATTTTAAAATATACTATATTGAAAATCAACTAGAAATGTCAAATAATAAATGGAACTTATTAAAATATTTATAGATTGGTTATGTTGATAATATTAGCTATTGCTAATAATCTTATGGTCTTAATATTAAGAATCAAATGCCTAGATTATGTAGTAGAAAAGAAATAAACATATGGAGCACTATTATGACTGGACGAGCATTAGAAAAGTTGAACTTTTGGAACAGTCCTATATGAAATTAATGTTTCTATATTTTCTCTCTCTAATTATTAAATATTTAAACAATTGTACTTTTGTATTCCCCTTCTTGTATGCATTCTCGTGATGCATAAACTACTGCTAAATGCTGTACATTTCTTAAGTTACTGTTAAATTTATTACAGATCTATTATTCTGTTCTCTCCCACTGATAGCATAGTTATGCCGTTATTGTAATTACTAAATTGTGTTGAGCAAACGAGATACAAAACAACTCAAACAAAAAAAAACAACATTATAAGCAAAGATGAATAGTGGCTAGCAGTGGAATCTAGGACGCGCGTTTTGTCCCACTCGGGACTCGTCAGCTGGATGTACCTGTATCTCAGAGTTGATGTTCGCCCCGGGACTCGAACCAGTACTGTTCGCTTCAAACGCCATCGCGTTATCCAACTGAGCTACAAATCTCCTCCACCATGATGGTGACTTTCTGGTTAAGGAACTGACTACGTTGTTTACAAAGGTTTGGGAGCTAGAGAGTGTTCGAACATCATGGAATGAGTCGATAGTTGTCCCTATCTTTAAAAAGGGTTCACGTAGTTCCTGTAACAACTATCGGGGGACAAGTCTACTTACGATTGCGTCCAAGCTATTGGCTTCCGTCATACTTCGTAGGTTGTTCAAAACCAGAGAAAGATTCACTCGCGAGGAGCAGGATGGGTTTCGTTCTGGTCGAGGATGTATTGATCATATCTTCACCCTCCACCAAATTTCAGAACACCGTCATACTTATCACAGACCAACAATCGTAGTGTTTCTTGACATTAGGGCTGCCTTCGATTCGTTGGACAGGACTATTCTGAGATGGTCTATTGAAGAAGGGTGTGCCTGAGAAGTTCATTAACACCGTAAAGGCCCTATATACAAACACCTCAGGCAGAGTGAGGGCATACAACCACCTCTCTCCATTGTTCCATTCGAGCAGTGGGGTTAGGCAGGGTTGCCCAATCTCACCATTCCTCTTCAACTTTGCCATCGATGACATTCTGGAAACAGCTCTGATGAATGTAAGTAATGGCGGTGTGGATCTGTTACCTGGAGAAATACTTGTCGACCTTGATTATGTGGATGATATTGTCTTACTGTGCGATAATGTCCACGCCATTCAATCCACAATTAATTAGTTGACAATCAGTGTCCGTAGGTATAGTATGTGCTTCGTACCTTCTAAGTGCAAAGTACTTCTACAAGACTGGCAGGATTCTAATTCTGTACTCACCCTGGATGGTGAGCAGATAGAAGTAGTCGAGAAGTTCTTGTATCTAGATAGCGGCATAAGTGCTGGTGGGGGTGTGAGTGATGAGATCAATGCACGTATAGTGAAAGCCAGAGCGGCTTATGCCAATCTGGGCCGCCTTTGGCGCCTTCGTGATGTTAGTCTGGCTGTAAAAGGTCGGATATACAACGCGTCGGTGAGAGCAGTTTTGCTCTATGCTTGTGAAACCTGGTCTCTCCGAGTTGAGGACGTTAGACGACTCTCTGTGTTCGATCATCGCTGTCTCCGAAGAATTGCTGACATTCAGTGGCAACACCATGTCAGTAATGCAGAGGTTCGGCATCGTGTGTTCGGGCACAGAGATGATAATTCAATTGGTGTCACCATCTTGAAACACCGACTTCGGTGGCTTGGACATGTTCTCCGAATGTCGTCCCAGAGAATTCCACGTCGTGCATTATTTGCCGACGCTGGGACTGGTTGGAAAAAGCGGAGAGGTGGTCAGTGTATGACATGGTGTCGTGGTATGAAAGAAAGCTGCAAAGGGCTGGCTTGTGTTGGTCCTTCACGACTCCCTGGTTGGGGTCCGAGAGATGGTGCAACACAGTGGCTAGAGACGTCATCAGATATGGCTCAGAATAGAAGCCAGTGGCGATCCTGTTGTAACCTTCTTTTACTTTCTTCACAAAAAGTGACTGCAACTTCATTAACTGAAAGGATTCTTTCTGGTTGTACCTTTCTATTTCCCCCATTATTATTATTTCACTACCATACACTAATTTGTGGTCGTTGTTGTTTTCTTTCTTTCTTTTTACACGCACCTTACATTCCTTATCTCTTCCTATCTTCATCATTATTGTGTGGCGCATATGTATCTGGTGCCCCCTTGTACCAATATTTATGTGTTCAAATAAATAAATAGAATACAGGTTATGGAAATGAAGTACAATACAACATCCTATACGATAGATAGATACATGTTAAAACACGTCATAAGCAGTTATTACAATTAAAAGAACTGCTTAAGAATATACAGGTATATATAGGGTTGTTTCGAATACTTTTAGCCAAATAAAGCAGTGGAATAGTTTAATTCATATCAAAATATAGATTCGTGCTAAATAAAAAGATTTAATTTAAGCATTTGTCAGTCATGACACTGAACAGGAGTTGTAATAAAGTTTCACCAATTTAATATAAACTGGCCAGATAAAAATATACTTTTCTCACAGAACAATTTTTTCTTATCCAGTTTATATAAAAACAAAAATGTCCGACCATTCTCAGATATAAGGCCTTTTCTGATTATACAGACGTAAAGTAATTTTCCTCCCCCGTAAATTTGATAATAACCAACCATAAATAACGTAGGACCTGGCATATATGTGTATCACTTTATACCATATCAGCACAGTGAGGTGACATTATCGCAACAAATGTCAGCGTAGTAGAAGTAGTAACTATCAGTCGTGGCAAAAGAGATTACACATAGATAATATGATTCGGGAGAAAGAGTAATTTCGAGAAATAAAAGGGCAAAAAATAATTTTAAAACTCAATATCTAATGGAAGGCAAAGAGTGAAGGCATCTGCACCACTGAGACAGATCCCGACCTATATCATCAAAAGTTATCAACCACTGGCTACGATAATCGCGTAGATCTCAACCAGATAGCCTGCAGCTAAAAACGCGGTTTAGTCCAACAGCCAGCTACCTCATGAACTGATTCTATGTATGGGTCTGGTTGCTCCCAACTTTCTACCACGCAAGCCGCACACCACCCAACATCATATGTCGAGGTAGGTAGTGATCCAGCATACGTAATACACATCCCAACTACTTTAGTTGATGAAGATTCATTACCTTACCAACCACTCTACCATTATTACCAAGTTTCCAGAGTCTAGTTTTAGCATTCCTCACCCATGAACACCAGTAATGACAACTTGACAATTTAACCTACTCAATAAAAGTAAAGCAGAACTAATACACGAGACAAATAGGTTATACGACAAAAACACTTACCTTAAGAGTAGGAGCTCTCAATCGAGTTTTAATTGCTTCTTTCCATAAAAGTTGGAGCTCATATACTGCTTCATATTCCAAGTAAAGACAACATAAATCATTACATGACCAAGAAGATATAAGGTTTCGGAATTGCTCAATTGCACAATCAGTCAATATTAAAGGATCTGTAAATATACAGTCTTTTTTAATTGTATCAATGTCAACGGACTTTTCAACACTACCAATACATTGTGTTTGACCGTCGTAGAGTTGTTCTTGATTAAAATCAGAATGTGGAATCGAAACCCTGATGGAAATATTTGAATCTGTAGGTATAAATGCTTCAGAAGAAACACCACATAACTGATAACTACTGTCTACATTAGAAGCACGTGTATCAGAGTTTATTTGATGATGTGCTAAAGAGTTTTTACATGTACAACTGTATGTACTAATCACAGTTGGGCTTGTTATGATAGAAGTCGATAATTCATCAATTGGCAGTGGATTAGTTTTCGTTTGTAAAGCGCTAGGTAACACATAGCTAGATGGACAATTTTTAGGACAGTGGCAAAATCCACTCAATTCCTTTCGATTACTTCTGTTACCAGAAGTTCCAAGACTTGTGCATCCCCAAGACTTGTTCAGACTCGAAAAGCTTGATCCCATTTATGAACAGATATGATAGACAGACCCGAAGCATTCCATTTGAATGTCTACGGGGATTAGATCTAACGTTAAAACGAAAACAATATACCAAATTTCTACAAAATCGAGAGAAAACGTATCTCTTGAAAAGGCTAAGGTACATCAATGAAGCATATAAGAGTGATTAAATAGCATGAAATAAAGTGATGAAACTGGAAGTGCATACTATAGAGACGAAAATGTACATTAGGTTGGTAGTTGCTTCTATACTTTCAAAGTATACTGAGTGCTATACATATACCTTGAAATAAAACTGGATCTATAGAGTACCGTCAAATATGAATAGTTTCAATAATATACAGTAGAAACATCTATGGAATTCTGATAAAAAAATTAATGGATAATACTGTGATTAGCGTGAAGGTATCCACATAAATTTTCTCATGGACGTTGGATCATTATCAGTGAATTTAAAAGCTTGTAATAGATTTAGAGAAAAATTCACCATTTACTCTAAAACAGAAACTGTAATCCTTGGCTTAAGTTTCAATCCTTTTAATAGAAATCCACAGAATACTAACGTAGTAGCTTTCGTCACATTTACCCACTAGCAAATTCTTTAAGGAAACTAAATCACTTGGCAATCGTCAAATTGACTAATCATAGCCTAGAAAAGGTACACTGTCAACAAATTTAACATATAGTGATAGGATTATTAAGAAATATTACTGCACATATTGGATCCTGAAAAAATAACTAAATTGACATTACTGCAAAGATCATATTTCCTAAAAGATATATTTGAACGGTACACATGTCAACAACACAGTTGCATTCAGTATATAAATGTTTCATCCAAACTTCAGTTCCAAAAACCACTAAGACCCTAGTATGCATAAGTACACAAAATACCTCGTCTATTCTCTTAACTACATATACGCATGCTATTAAACTAGTGACGTCAAAACAGCTCTACCGTATGGAGCTACAACCATCACCAAAAATGTACATGTATTTATAAATAATTGTGTACGCAAGATACTCCGGATTCGATGGCCAAATATAACACCAACAACAATCTACTGTGGCAGAGAACAAGCCAGCTTCCATCTGAACACAAAATTAGGAAAAGACACCTGAAATGGATAGGACAAACATTGTGGAAATCATCAAACTCCATCACAAAGCCAGTCCTACCTTGAAATCTTTAAGTCAAAGGAAAAAGAAGCACGCTAAAAAACACATTGAGCCAGAAATTGGAGGCAGATATCAAAAGAATGAGTCACACTTAGCAACAGCTGGAAAGGAGCGCCCAGGAAAAAATGGATTGGAGAATTCTGGTCGGCGGCCTATGCCTCTCCACGACAGGTAAAAGGAGTAAAAGAAGGTTGGTACGTAAATGTTAAACCACTGAATCAGGCAAGAAACTCATTGAAATAACAGGTTCGTAAGTGACTACACTTCGAAAAACAACCATCCCAGTCACTTAAGTCCATTTTTGGTCTTATACTACAAGTTCGTTAAATAAACAATTAGAGTTCAATTATTTAATCAACTCACATATATAAGATAATTGGTGTGATGAACTCTTAGTTGACTATCTTCATGTGATAATGAACTAGGTTTCAAGAAATTTATGATAGTGAATTTCGATGAAGCTCTAGAGCATGTAGGTTGGTGGCAGGTCATTTTTATTAGAAATCGTCCGTACTTAAGTCTTAACGAGTGACTGTCTTATGAAATCGACACACTAACCAAGCACATATCGCTTACAATCTAAACTGTTTGTTGGCTTAACTATTTACATTTTCAAGTAATGGGGCGAATAAAGTTCTCAATGATCGTTTGATAGTAACGATTCTAGTTGTGAGAAACTCTAACTTATCCCTTATGGAACAAAAAACCCGTTCTGAAAAAAATTATTCCGTTCAACCCACATACAACACGTAAACAAATCTATTTCCACATGATTCATTCAGTACCACTGTTGCTCGGTCTCATATAATCTCAACATGAGGAACATGTTGACGGGCTGTAGTAGATATTAATAATACTATAACTTTTTACGATATATATGGAATATGGTGGCATTTGAAAGTGACACGAAATGATGAGAATATCAAAGAGCTTCGTAATGACCTGGATGAAATAATGGAATAATTCATTTGCCAAACGTCAAACAACCCCTATGATCCGTCACGATGTAGATTGTTGACCAAGACGGGGACAAATACATACTGATAGATGTTTTATCACTCATTGAGATAAACTATAGTAACCCACGGGTTATTAATTGAGGTGATTAATATTTAGCGATTTATGTGTCAAACACGACGCTGTCAAGGAGTAAAGTACTGCAGACAAGCCGCTAGCACTTGTCAAAGTGGAGGTGGCCAACTACTGGAAAAATTTTAAAGGACGGTGCGTAAAAGGTACCAAGAATTTTAAATCTTGTAGTTGGATGAAATCGAATTTCCCTATCACGATTGAGAGCCTGGAGTGGTTCGATCATTATATTCAAATAACTTGATAGTTAGTTCCACATGACCTCCCTTCTCTTGCTTTTTAGAAATAAATCATAGAAACAAAGAAAGTTAGCAAGCCCGAAACCAGTAATGTGGTAGGGAACTAAAACTGAGTAGGCTGACAATGAATGGAGTTCGCCATCCGTACACAAAGAACCAACCACATCTGTAGACAATCGATGTATATTATCTGGAACCCCTATACTCAGAACTTAAACGACAATTTCCTTTATGTAGTGAAGGAACAGCTAAAACAAGCTGTAACACAACATAAAAGTATAGTATAAAAATATCTATTAGACTTTAAGGACCAAGAAGTTTTGCACTGACCTTTTAGAGAGATTTTACTAGTTTTGTGTCTGTCATTAGGTACTTTTGAGTAGCGAAAAATTCCGAAACTTTCAACATGAATTCATTTCTAAAGGCCAATTAGCGGTCTGAGTATGGTAATATGGAAACTCAATGTCACTTAACCACCTAACTTCCTGTGCTGATGGTTTGAAACGATATCTGAGACTTTAATGACTATCAAAGCAACTGTTGATAAAACAGGTTGTGATTTGCCTATAACCAAAGAGAATAGTGACCCAGGAATAATCGGATTTAAAATGGCAAACAAGTTCACAACCAGGTCGTCAAAATGCATATCCTAAGTGTTCAGATCTTGTAGATTTCAGGCCGACGTTTTGTAAGGTAGACACTAACTTTATAAAGGTCTAAGTATGTAAGTTTGGGAACAGAAACTGTGACCGAATATTAAGGTCCCAAAAACTACCAATATTAGCCAACCAACATTAATTTCTACAGGGGTTATTTTTATGTTCATGATATGGTTCACTTAAATAAGGAGAGACACGAGATTTCAAAGACATCAGGAAACCTGTCTACTGAATAGTAACGCAAGTCGCAACTATAGCGCCAACAGTAACACCCAAACTTTAGACGACAGTGGTAAGGATAGAATCAAATATCAAATATCCTTGTGACAAGCCAATGTAAACCAATACTCACACTAAGAAGATCTTCTGGGTTGCTATCGATCTTAAACTCGGGTGAATAAGGATTGAGTATAGAGTTAGAGACCTTTTCCAGTGAGAAGGACTTTGTTAAAAAACACTAAACAAAATATCATTCTAACCGTGGAAATTCAAAATTCTTCATATGAAACAGTTACGGCGCATCTTGGTGAAGGTCTGAACTATTCTGAAGTTACGAGGCTGATGTTTATTCTGACAATCAAAGTGACAATTTATACATTTCGGTTTCAATTTAGAAGAGACGAGAGGTCAGGCAGCATTTGTTAATGGTCTCCCAGTCGATCCAACTGTCCTTTGAAAGTGTCAATAGATGTAGTTTTAATTACGTGTTTAGCTAATTATTCGACAATAAACTCGATAGTTAGCAGGTAAGTTATTTGTTCTGGGCTTGTCAACATTTCGGAATTTCCTCGTAAATTCCTTGTCTTGGAAGATGAGATATGAGTACCTAAAGTTTCTGAATAGTGTAGAAGACTAAAGGAACCGTTTAAATGCTGAAGAAATCGGAAGTTACATTTTGAGAGTACTAGTGATAAGTAAAACAATCGCGTACAAAATAACCAGGAAATAAGTGCATCTGGATAAGTGCTGCACTTGTAACAGCTTAGGTTGGTTGGTTAAGAGTTCACCTTAAACAACCAAGCATATGCCAAAACAGTATTGTTCAAGTATTCATTCACTTCCTTGTTTTGTATAAGCGTTATATTCCCTATTATCTTATATTGAATGTTGAGAGCCTTTGTTTGTCTGAACAGATAATCCCACGCTCCACTGTGACTGCGCTAAGATCGAAATAAAGACCTATTCACTACTTGTCTGGTTTCTTCTATCAATAGCACGAGGGTTACTTAAGGCACGAAATGGTGAGCCCTTTTTGAACACAAATTTAACCTCATTTCTGTTATTAACTTTTTTTTACTTAATCGTAAAAGTAGACCTGATTATCCGTAAACTAATTTGAGTATATAACTAGTTTATTCCGTATTATCTTAAGTTATTCGTGTTATAGTAACCATTTTTCGTGCTAACTTTATTGCTATATTTGTCACATACCTCATGTCAGACTCAATAGAAACCCATAATCTGGAGGATTTGTCACCAGTGGAGATAGACACTGTTATGACTACGAAATCCCGACTTCCAGAATTTGATCGTAGTGATCCTGAGTTGTGGTTTGCTCAACTAGAGCATTATTTCACGAGACACAATATCAAATCTGAAGGGATTCGCTATAGAGACTTGTGTTCTATCCTTCCTCCTTCAGTCGCCAAAGAAGTCCGTGACTTGATTTTAAGTCCACCATCACCACAACCATACACCATCTTAAGACGAGAGATAATGAACCGTTTATCATTATCAGATAGTCAAAGAATCCAAAGACTTTTTCAAGGTGAAACACTAGGTGATCGGTCGCCGTCACAGTTTTTACGTCACCTCCAAGTCTTAGTGGGTGATAACACAGTGGGTGAAGCAGTCCTAAAACAAGGATGGATACAAGCTCTCCCATGCTACGTCCAACACTGTTTGGATGCACAAGATCCTGAAACCTCATTATCTCATTTAGCGCGTATAGCCGACAGAATAATGGAAAGAGGTCCTCCAACTGGATCAGGCACAATAAATCACACACAAAAAGTAGAATCAGCAAAAGACCCCGTAATAGAAGGACTCATTGCGAGTGTTAAGAGTCTCACTGAGGCTGTCACCAGAATGCAAATGGGTCATAGAAACAGGAGCAGGTCACCACAACGACCACGATCCAAGTCACAAAACAGGTCACAAATGTCCAGACAATCTGGGCAGTTTTGTTGGTACCACTGGAAGTTTGGTGTCAACTCAACCAAGTGCATGCAACCATGCGCCTGGCCTAAGCATAATTCTAAGACAGCGGGAAACGAGTAACCCCTCCCCAGGTCGCGACGACTGAGGAGGGGCGCCTAAACAGTCGCTTGTTTTATGTTAGAGACAGAAACTCTGGCTTGAATTTCTTGGTGGATACTGGCGCTGCTCTTAGCATCATCCCTCAAAATAAAACTGAGATTAGTCGAGAAACATCATCAATTACACTTCAAGCTGCAAATAAAACTAAAATTGCGACATTTGGGCAGAAAACTTTAACCCTAGATTTGGGGTTCAGGAGGCAATTCCCTTGGGTTTTCACGGTAGCCGACTTAGATCTGGCAATACTGGGGATGGACTTTCTAGAGAGATACGAATTTCTAGTTGACACCAAGAAACGGCGATTAACACTAAAAGAAACTTCGTATTACACAAAAGGCAAAGAAAGTCACATCAGCTCTCTTAACTTGATTCAAACTCCCCAGTAACAACAGCGAAATTCCAAGATATACTCGCGGAATTTCCAAACTTAACTAAACCAAACCCACAGCCTTCTAAAGACAAACTAAAAGTAGTCACACTATCAAAACCGAAGGTGCACCGGTGTTTGCAAAACCCAGGAGACTAGCACCAGATAAGCTCAAAATCGCTAGGGCCGAGTTTGATTATATGCTACAATTGGGTATTATCCGTCCCTCTGATAGTCAATGGGCATCCCCTTTGCATATGGTCCCAAAGAAGAATGAAGGTGACTGGCGACCGTGCGGGGATTACAGAGCCCTAAACCGTCAAACCGTACCAGATAGGTACCCAATACCTCATATCCAAGATTTCACCAACGGTTTACAGGGTATGAACATATTCACTAAAATTGACTTAGTCAGGGCATATCACAATATCCCGGTGGCTGATGAAGATATTCCCAAGACAGCTATTACTACACCCTTTGGCTTATTCGAGTTTGTACGCATGCCATTCGGCCTGAGAAATGCGGCACAGACATTTCAAAGATTCATAGATAACCTACTTCGAGATATGCCATTTGCGCAGGGGTATATAGACGACTTGTTAATTGCCAGCCCCGATTTGCAATCACACGAACAGCATGTACAAGCAGTGTTGAAAAGACTGGATGAACATGGAATAAACATACATCAAAGTAAGTGTGTTTTCGGTGTTCAAACTTTAGAATTTCTCGGTCACACAATAAGCCCAGAAGGGATTAAACCTATCAAAAAAGAAGTGGATACCATCAAACAATACCCCGTACCTAGTTCTCTAACACAACTGAGAAGTTTTCTAGGCCTAATTAACTTTTATCGCAGATTCATACCAGGTTGTGCACAATTAATGCAACCTTTGACAGATTCACTTAAAGGAAAACCAAAAGAATTCAAACTGTCTTCTGACGCCATCGAAGCTATTAAACAGCTTAAAGATAAACTGGCTCAAGCAACTACGTTGATATATCCGAATTCTCTTTCCCCACTTGCTTTGATGGTGGATGCTTCAGATAAAGCAGTAGGCGGTACCCTTAACCAACTGGTTAAAAACGCCTGGAAACCAATTGCTTTCTTCTCGAAAAGACTCGCTCCAGCCGAAACAAGGTATTCTACCTTCGGGCGAGAACTTCTTGCAATCTACCTGACCATTAAACACTTCCGACACATGTTAGAAGGTAGGGAATTTATAGTCTTTACGGATCACAAACCACTGACGAATGCATTAAAAGCGAGAGCCGATAAATACTCACCTCGAGAAGTCCGACACCTTGACTATAT